GTTTCTCCCATTCTTCTCTACAGATCCTCTCATGCTCTGTCAGGTTGGATGGGGAGCGTCGCTGCACAGCTATTTTTAGGTCTCTCCAGAGCTGTTAGATCGGGTTCAAGTCCGAGCTCTGGCTGGCCCACTCAAGGACATTTAGAGAGTTGTCCCGAAGTTACTCCTGCGTTGTCTTGGCTGTGTGCTTAGGGTCGTTGTCCTGTTGGAAGGTGAACCTTTGCCCCAGTCTGAGGTCCTGAGCAGGTTTTCATCAAGGATCTCTCTGTACTTTGCTCTGTTCGTCTTTCCCTTGATCCCGACTAGTCTCCCAGTCCCTGACACTGAAAAACATCCCCACAGCATTATTCTGCCACCACCATACTTCACCGTAGGGATGGTGGCAGGTTTCCTCCAGACGTGATGCTTGGCATTCAGGTCAAAGAGTTCAATCTTGGTTTCATCAGACCAGAAAATCTTGTTTCTCATGGTCAGAGTCCTTTAAGTGCCTTTTGGCAAACTCCAAGCTGGCTGTCATGTGCCTTTTACTGAGGAGTGGCTTCCGTCTGGCCATTCTACCATAAAGGCATGTTGGTGGAGTGCTGCAGAGATGGTTGTCCTTCTGGAAGGTTTTCCCATCTCCATAGAGGAACTCTGGAGCTCTGTCAGAGTGACCTTAGGGCTCTTCTCCCCCGATTGCTCAGTTTGGCCTGGCGGCCAGCTCTAGGAAGAGTCTTGGCGGTTCCAAACTTCTTCCATTTAAGAATGATGGAGGCGACTGTGTTCTTGGGGACCTTCAATGCTGCAGAAATGTTTTGGTACCCTTCCCCAGATCTGTGCCGCGACACAATCCTGTCTCGGCGCTCTACAGACAATTCCTTCGACCTCATGGCTTGGTTTTTGCTCTGACATGCACTGTCAACTGTGGGACCTTTAATAGACAGTTGTGTGCCTTTCAAAATCATGTCCAATCAATTGAATGTACCACAGGTGGACTCCAATCAAGTTGTAGAAACATCTCAAGGATGACCAATGGAAACAGGATGCACCTGCGCTCAATTTTGAGTCTCATAGCAAAGGGTCTGAATACTTATGTAAATAATATATTTTAACTCTTAATACATTTGCAAAATAATCTAAAAACTTGTTGCTTTGTCATCAGGTATTTGTGTGGATTGAATTTAATTGTAATCCATTTTAGAACAAGGCTGTAAAGTAAAAAGATGTGGAAAAATTCAAGGGGTCTGAATACTTTCCAAATGCACTGTAAATCCCATGGGTTTAATTGTATCCTTGTTGGCCTTCCCCGCTAGGTTTCCATCTTTGTAACTTAACTGATCAGTTTAAAGGGTCTGAATTGTCATACTATTACTTTAAGTCAGTGGTATTCAAACTTCCAGCAGCTATTTTTGGGGGGCAGAATCTCAACCTCACATCTAACACAACCTTCAAATGTGTCCATTTTACTAGGAACCATAAAGTCATATTTGCAGCTTCCTAAAAATTCTAATTTACTCAAATTATTTATCTTTCAAAAAGAAAAACATCTATTGTAAGGCAAACCCATCCTCTTGGTGCAGTAGAAACATGCTACAGATTAAAGGCACTCATTGTGCTTGCCTACATACAACAGCATGACCTTGCGCTTTAGGAAGATCTGACCCATTGATGTCATGACTTTTGGCCATACTAGAGTTCATCTTGAAATTTGAACTTTTAAATGCAAGATATTTTATTGTTCAAATCACGCAGGATAAAAGGAGCAGCAGCAACTCCTGGCAGAATCAAAAGCATGACCGTGGAACCTAAAGTGTCAGCAGCAAGTCCATTTCTGGTCAGTAAAATAAAGTCTTACCATTGGAGTAATTCTGTTGATGGACGATCAGTACAAAGGATTTCAAAATTAAAAAACACTTCGGATTAGATTACAAATTTAATTGTGGTGGGGTGCCTTTAGCAGGTCGCAAGTTTTTAGCAGGTGGGAATATGCTTTGTTCAGAGCTGCCAACGTCACTAATGTCCTTGGGAGGACCTCCGCTATCAAAAGGTATTTTTTACATTTTAGCAGACGCTCTTATCCAGACTGACTTACAGTTAGGTATAACCTATACAGGGGTGTAGCGGGTTTGAGGACAGTTTTGCCATTCTCATAATTCGATTTGGAACTGTAGGAATAGATTGGGACGAGAACTGTTGCGGCCGGTTGCTTCACCTAAGGTATTTGGACCAGTCGCCACACTTCCGAGGCGTTGCGGCCGTTTGCTTCTGCTGTGGCGGCATAGCAACCGGTTGCTTTTCTCGCAGCTACACGGGAGCTAGTTCCTTTACATTTTAGTTATTTATCAGACACTTATCCAGAGCGACTTAGTGAGTGTATACATTTTTCATAATCGCCCCCTGTGTGAATCGAACCCACAACCCTGGCGTTGCAAGCGCCATGCTCTACCAACTGAGCTACAGAAGGCTCCTTTCAATGCAGTTTGGGGAATGTATCATTACCTAGGAGAAGAAAAAAATAAGTTTAAAAATAGCACAAATGCCAGCATTTGAAATTGGAACTACACAAATGCTGTCATTTTAACTGAAAAAAGCTTGTGTAGAACACACACCTTTAGGTGTATCCCTCCAATTAGCAGGCAAAGCCATGAAACTAAATAAAAAACATTAATACAGTCAGTTAAACACAGCTACCTGTAAATCCTGGAAGACAAGGGAAACAAACTAGAGCTAAACTTACCTCAAAGACCGTCCAAAAGTCAGACATTGTTCTCATCAAAACCTCATTAGTATTCAGAATTAATGGTAGCCAGATGCCTAACTAGAAGAGCCCCCTTACTGTATTGGACAGTCTTTTCGCTGCTCCTTATAAAGGAATCCAAGACCATTCTAATCTAGCTGGCTAATTAGGTACAGCTGCCAGCCACTGAACATCATTTCCATTGGTCCAATTTCCCAATTGAGATTAGGTGCGCTTGATTTCATTCAGCTGGTGTGCTGGAGGGGTTGCACGTCATGATCAGTCCGATGGTTTTAAAGAGTGAACTCTACCTACCCATTGCACTGGATGAGCTTAATCAAGTGCACCTTTTAATGAAGTTCCTGCCAGGGGCTTTTGCAGCTGCAACCTCAGCTGTCAGGTAGAAATGTGTTGTGCAAAAGGCTGCGGAAACAGTAAGATTGTCTACAAATTACATTGAGACAAAAAAAATAAGTATTACGCTAGACAAGTGATTGTACGACAGAGATGTACTTTTACCGAAAAGTAATGCATATACAATTTCATCCATGTTCATGAGGCCAAACAGACAGTACACTACAACAGGCAAATGTGTCAATGTTTGTGAATAAGTCCCAGGTGACACCTTATGCTAGCTATGCTTGCTAAGCTTTCCTGCTAGTGCCTACTGGCATTCCCTTTGGAACTTAATGGATCCATTTAGGGTTTGAATTCTCATACTATGCGGTTAGATTTCACCAACAATACTTGCTTTAGAAAAATTTACACTTTAAGACGATCTGTAGTCTCGACAGAATTGTAATTTATAGGTTAAACAGTTCCAGGCATTGTAAAGTACACTGAATCCATTCTTTAGGAGCATGTGGTGCAATAAATGGAGTATAAGGAATGATCTACAGGGGAAGTCGATGCGACAAAAACCGGCAGTTGAAGCTAGACATAGTTTTGCATCTCAATCCACTGCAGCCGCCCTCATGCATTTGCAGTGGATGGGGGAAGAACGAAAGCAGCGTAGGTCAGATATTCCGAAAAGCATTCTTCTCACAAAAACATCTATAGCATCCGAACGGTTTGGCCGACAAACTATTATGGCTAATATGGAAAGGGGAGACACATGATTCTGTTTTGCTTTATGACCCCCACCAGTGTCAGACTCATCTCAAGGAAACCAATAGAAACTGAAGTATGGAGGTAGTTCTGCCAACAAAAGGGGTTTAATGTGTCCAAAAGATCAACATGAGCTAGCACCTAAACATAGGACATCAAAACCTTATGATTTAACACTTTGCCATTGTGTTATTCAATGCATTTGGGCTATAGTATTCAAGGCCAAATTCAATAATTGAATACCAAAAGGGTCCTAAGAAGTCCATTAGCTAAAGGATCCACGGTATTACCATCTTAGAACAATTCCCTATGTTAACTTAGTACTCCAACAGCTTAGACAGAGGTTGAAGTCAAGATTGTCTAAACACACAATGCATGCCTACATCTAAAGTTTGAACATATGGTCTGACATTTCACCACTTCAAAACACTAATGTAGAGCCAATCCATTACTTTTAACAGCCAGTATCAAAAGTAAACAGATTAGAAAACCAAAGATTAACTGTGATGCACATTCCCTTTTACTACAGACTGCACTGGCAACCCACACTGTTGCCAATCAGCAAGCACAGTGTGCACAAGAGAAACATCAGTATTTCAAAGACCAGGCATTTTTTGAAGTAAAATGTTTGATTCAACCATGCTAGAGTAGCAAGAGAACCTGCAACTTCCTGGTCGAAACAAAAGCAGACCGAAACCTGAAAGAAAGGGTCAGCAACGCAGAATCTTAGGTCATCCATTTGTCTTACCATTAGAGCTTCTAGAAGACGAATCCACCATTAGATTTTCCTGTTGGTAGAGTCATGGTTAATACAAAGGACTTCAAATTTCAGATTAGGTTAAAGTCATACATTACCTTGCAGGATCATTTACTAGTGGTGGGTATAGGCTTGGTTCAGTGATGCCAACATGATTGTCCTTGGGAGCATTTCCACTATCAACAGGCATAACCTCACTAGGAGTGTAGCGGGTTTGGGAGAAGACAGTTTTGCCTTTCCCGTAACGAGATTTGGAACTGTAGAAATAGATTGGGATGAGAACCGACTGTTCAACGATGCTGGCCTGAGAGCTACTAGAGGCGCCATCTTCAGTGCTTTCGTAGTGCTTCTGCTGAGACATTGGGGCCAATTGCTGCTGGGGCATTTGTACCAGAGGCCATAATTGCTGAGGCATGGGGGTCAGTTGCTGCTGGGGCATTTGAGCTGGATGCCACACTTGCTGGGGCATAGCGGCCGGTTGAGTCTGCTGTTCAGCTGCTTCTGGGCCTCAGCTGCTGGTTGCTTCTGGGGCATTTGAGCTGGATGCCACACTTGCTGGGGCATAGAGGTCGGTTGCTTGTGCAGCATTTGAGCTGGATGCCACACTTGCTGAGGGTGCTTAGGATCAGCGGCCGGTTCCCTCTGCTGCTGGGGCATTTGCACTGTATGCCAGACTTGCTGGTGCATGGCGGTCAGTTTTTGCTGCATACCACACTTCTTGGGGCTGCTGGGGAATGGGGGCTTATTGCTTCTGTGGCATGGCGGTCAGATACTTTTTCACCAGATGCCACACTTGCTGAAGTATGGCAGCCAGTTCCTTCTGCTGCTGAGGTTCAGCGGCTGGTGGCTTCTGTTGCTGGGGCATTTAAGCTGGATGCCACACGTTGTAAGGCTGCTGGGGCCAGCAGCTTCTGTGGCATGGGGACCAGTTGCTTTTGGGCCAGATGCCACACTTGCTGAGGCATGGGGGCCGAATGCTTCTGCGGCGGTCAGCTGCTCTTGCATTTCAGCTGTTGGAGAGTTGCAATAATCTAGACCTAACTGATCCTGAATAGAGCCAAGCTGCATCAGAAACTGGTGCAGGATATCCGTCACCTAGGTAACAACAAATCTAAACTGAAATGCTAGCCTTTGAAGTTGTTGGAACTATATCAATTATTTGAAATTAATGTGTAGAAACTCAACTTTTAATGTCAAACAGGTTATCCCTCCGATTAGCAGGCAACAAAGCCAAGAAACTCTAGAGAAAAAAAAGAAAGTGTTAAACATACCTACCTGAAGGACAAGTGAAACAAACTTGATCAATACTTTTAAAAACATACCTGAAAGAGATCCCAATCATCACAGCCATTTCACGCATCAAAACCTCACCAGTATTCAGAACTAATAGTAGCCATAAGCCCTACCAGAATATCTCTTTTGCTGTATATGCAAGTGTTTTGGTTGCTCCTTATATAGGAATCCCAGACCCTTCTAATGTGGTTGGCTAATTAAGGACAGCCGTCAGCCACCGAACTACATTTAATTCCTAATTCCAAATTGACCCCTAAATCCTACACCCTGGCCGAGACACTTCTGTGAATCATTATTATTATTATTAGAAATGATTGGATAGGTATAAGCAATATGGCCACAATTGCATCCAGCCTATCAGAAGGCAAGGTGAAGCAATTTCCATATTGCTTTAACCTGTCTGATCGTTTCAAATGCCCATAAGTGATTTGGAATTCAGAAATGTACTCAGGTGTGGTTAATTCCCTAATTGAGTTCCTGACAAAGGACCATAATAAATTATTGGTTGTGTTTTGTCTTTTTGACAGCCCTTACTCTAAAGCATGCATCAAACTCATTACATGGAGGACAGAGTATCTGTGGGTTTTCGCTCCTTCCTTGTACTTGATCGCTGAATTAAGGGCACTAATTACTCCCCTCACCTAGTTGTCTAGGTCTTAATTGAAAGGAAAACCAAAAACCTGCAGACACTAAGCCCTCCATGTAATGAGTTTGATACCCCTGCTCTAAACTAGAAAACACATTTTGTCTTGGCATATTATTGCTTGTACAAAATTCACTTGACATATTTGAAGATTAGAGGCTAAATGAGCAGTTAGGCACCATTATTTTACACATGCCTTCTTTTAAACAGTGTAGCTAATTCAGGATAGCAACATTTAGCTGTTTAACAGTTTCAGTTGCACATAGTGCAACATCTTGGACAAATTCTGAATTCAAACAAACAGACAGCAATTAAACACTCACATAATGCTAACACACCACACCAATGCTTATGCTGATCTTAGTCTTTCATTTTTCTGTGGCAAATATAGGGCTCGTTTGAGTGGTAAGGCAACTGACTGTAGACCAAAGTCGAGTAGTAAAGTCAGGAGAGGTGCATCTGCGACAGCCGAAACTCAGACACTAATGTTGTTTTCCAACAGCAAGTCTCAGATCACCATGGCAGTGTTGCTATTGTCTATAAAATGTTTTCTTTATATGTCTCCAACACCCACTCACAAACTGAAATCATTTGTGTGTATATTATACAATCAATAAATGAGAGAGAGCCTCAATCATATAAATGTATGCACTGTAGGCTACACATGAATTGCAGCAAATTGGTTCCTGTTTCAGTCATGTTTTTGGTCATGTTCGTGTTGGTCAAACAAAAACACTAATGATTGATTGACAATAGAGGTGACAATCCCTCAATGCAGGTGATGGCTGCAGGATGAAGTTGGTGAAGAGCAACTGCAGAAAGTTGGAGTCAATTCTTCTTCACCTTTGATCACATGATTTTTGTAAAGTTCATGCAGTCGACTCAAGTTGGAAATGTTTTATCCCCAGAATGCAACACACTTTGAAAGGCGTGACCAACGATTGTCAACGACTTAACAATAGTGATCCTCTCGAAGGTGCCCACTATCTCCATAAAAGGTCTCCTTCATGTGGATGAAATAAAACACAAGACAACAACCCATCTCATCATCCTCTGACCATCTACCCTCTTTTGTGGACGCATTTCTTCCAATATTGTCTCAACTTTGATTGCAGTACACAACCACAAGCACATACATTTGCATGCAACTGTATAGATAGCTATTCATATATCCCGGCCCCTTAAACTCAACATCTGCCAAGTAGTGTTTTCCCTGTTCTGGCTGATGTTTCCGCTTGGCACTCCAAACCTGCTAATTATCCTTGATTCCAAGTCTGGGCTTTGAAATTCCCTTCTTTTTTTATAGGAATTTTTAGGGATCAACCGTTCAACTTTTCTCTCTCTTTGGTGTGTGTCGTTTTCTTGTCCTGTTTCTTTCAGCACAGCAGGCAGACAATCTGTTCTTTTTTCTGGTCTTTTATATTCACCCCAAGTGCTCCAATCCTTCTTTACTTTATTGTATGGCCCTTAATGTCTAGAAATCTGCACTCATTCCCCTCTTCCACTGCTGTACACAGTCCTAATGTGACTGGATCTTTCATGTATGTCACTTAATCAGACCTGGGTTCAAATACTATTTAAAATATTTCAATTCATTTCACATACATGCAAAGGAAGTATTCAGATATCTTTTATTTGAAAAGATAATTAGTAGAATTATTTTGATGTATTTGGAAATACACTTGGAAACACTGACTCAAATACACTCCCATGCATTTAACCCTGGTATGTGACATTTTGAAATAAGTATTTGAACATAATATCAAATACTACAATTTGGCAGACTATTTGGTTTTCCATAAATAACCATTCAAATACAAAAATAAAAGTTCTTGTTTTGGGCTGTTTATTCGAAAATACTCAAATACACAGAAAAAGTATTTTAAATACCAGATACTCAAATACACATATATTTTAACACAGGTCTGCACTTAAATGTAGCATTTTTATGAAAATACAAAAAAATGTTTTGTATTGCATCATATTTTATTCTATTGTATTTGTTGTTTCTTTGTGATTGCATTTGGAATCTTCTGTTATCTTCTGTTATCCTAAGACAGATTCCAATTCTTCTTTCTCTGTTAGACCCTCCAGGCCCTGTCAGTCTTCAGAGGTCACTCAGTTGTGATTGTAACCATCAGATCAGTGCCAACGCTAACAAACTCGGCCAAAATCTCAGTGGTGAGTAGCCACTGACCTGTGGTCAACTCAGACTGTAGACAGCGGACTAGCCGTCACATAAAGACACACTCATGCCCTCCAGAGCACACACTGAGATAGTAGCCTACATAAGATTCAGGCAGAAAACAATACTCACTCCAAAACAGACACAATAATTGTCAAAGCTTATTTACATTCATTTATTCGTTTTACAACTGTTTTAGGATCAGGTACTACTGCCTGCTTCAACTCCTAAAAATAAGAAAAAAGTATTTGAGAAGCAATATACATACATTAGAGGTCACTGTATAATTTACTGCTGCTTTCTATAGATTATCCAAGCCACTTAAACGTGTACTGCTCCATAGATATGGGTTCAAATACTTATTTAGCTGCACTTAGTTGAGCTTATCTGGCACAATCAACCCTCAAAGGCATTTAAAAGAAAACCAATACTATTAGAATTCAGGTTTGTTTTGACCTCTGACCTTGAGATTGCCTCGTATGAGCGACTGGCAGAAATCCCTCGCGCTCCATGGAGAGCTCTCCCTCGGGCATGAGCCATTTCATGTTTGAGTCGCCGTCGTAAATGCCCACGAGTGAAAGGTCATGTGACGTCAGGCCAAAGTAGCCCAGAGATTTCTCATTGGAATTCACCCAGTGTACCAGCACAAACAGGAACTGTGACAAATAAATCATAGTCATGTTCAATAGGGGACACCGTAGCAAAATGTTTTGCAACCAAATCTAAAATCAGTGATTTTATTGGACGAGACCAAAGTCAAAAGTAGTTATATGAATTTTGTTGAACTGTGCAGGTAGCCTACTTTTTGAAGTGTTTGACAGATGAGATCACACAACACCCATTATATGCGAAACGGAGCCTGCACAGACACGGGATAACAGGTTTACCTGCCATAGTATCCAGTCTTCAATTAGCATATCCCAGGCATCTTATCCAGGTTTCTCAAAAACGGGATACAAGCTTTTTCGGGTTATTGTAAATGGAATATGATTTTTATATCAGTCAACGCAAACAGAATATCCCAAATAACGGGATATTGGTATGCATGTAAACGTGGTCAGTCGCTCTACTGTAGAGCCAATCTTGGAATTTGAACAACCAGTAGCAAAGATAAAAACCAGATATTTGAAAACCAAACGATTAGGAACTGTGAACCAAACTGCACTGGCAACCAACACTGTTCTCAATCAGCAAGCCAGAAGGTAGACATTAAAGAACACTCAGCATTTCAAAAACAACGAGGCACTTTTAAATGTAAAATATTTTATTGTTCAAGTCATGCAGGGTAGCAAGAGCAACTCCCTGGCCGAATCAAAAGCATACAATGGAACCTAAACGAGTGTCAGCAACAACTCAGAATGGTCATTGTCGGTCATAAAAAAAAAGGAAAAATGGATCATCCAAAGGATAAATCCACCATTAGAATTCTGTTGATAGACAATGATTAATATAAAGGATTTCAAAGTTAGAAAGCAAAAGTTGAGATGAGTTGTACATTGCATCCCAGGAGCCTTTCCTTGTGGTGGGGTTCCTTTAGCAGGTTGCGAGTTCTTAGCAGGTGGGGATATGCTTGATTTAGAGATGCCAATAGCACTGTCCTTGGGAGTATCTCCGCTATCAAAACGGAATAACCTCCCCAGGGGTGTTGCAGGTTTGGGAGAAGACAGTTTTGTCAAAAATCGATTTAGAACTGCAGGAATAGATTAGGATGAGAACTGACTGTTCAACAATGCGGCCTTGAGCGCTACTGGAGCCGACGTCTTGAGTTCTTTCATTGTCACCATCATCGGACCCAACATTCTGAGAACCATCACTCATGCTAAAGTCCATTTTGCTTGAGGAGTTGGCCCTCCTGCCGAGGCCAGGGCGCCTGTTGCTCCTGCCGAGGCCAGGGCGCCTGTTGCTCCTGCCGAGGCGATGGCGCCTGTTGCTCCTGCCGAGGCGACGGCGCCTGTTGCAACTGCGGCATTTGAACCAGATGCCACACTTGCTGAGGCACGGGGGCCGGTTGCCACACTTGCCAAGGAATTGTTGCCGGTTGCTACTGCCGAGGCACGGGGGCCGGTTGCCACACTTGCCAAGGAATTGTTGCCGGTTGCTACTGCCGAGGCACGGGGGCCGGTTGCTGCTGCCGAGGCACGGGGGCCGGTTGCCACACTTGCCGAGGAATTGTCGCCGGTTGCTGCTGCCGAGGCACGGGGGCCGGTTGCTGCTGCCGAGGCACGGGGGCCGGTTGCTGCTGCCGAGGCACGGGGGCCGGTTGCTCCTGCCGAGGCGACGGCGCCGGTTGCAACTGCCGAGGCGACGGCGCCGGTTGCAGCTGCCGAGGCACGGGGGCCGGTTGCTGCTGCCGAGGCACGGGGGCCGGTTGCTGCTGCCGAGGCACGGGGGCCGGTTGCTGCTGCCGAGGCACGGGGGCCGGTTGCTGCTGCCGAGGCACGGGGGCCGGTTGCTGCTGCCGAGGCACGGGGGCCGGTTGCTGCTGCCGAGGCACGGGCGCCGGTTGCTGCTGCCGAGGCACGGGGGCCGGTTGCCACACTTGCCGAGGAATTGTCGCCGGTTGCTGCTGCCGAGGCACGGGGGCCGGTTGCTGCTGCCGAGGCACGGGGGCCGGTTGCTGTTGCTCCTGCAGAGGCGCCGGTTGCTCCTGCCGAGGCGACGGCGCCGGTTGCAACTGCCGAGGCGACGGCGCCGGTTGCAGCTGCTGAGGCACGGGGGCCGGTTGCTGCTGCTGAGGCGACGGCGCCTGTTGCAACTGCGGCATTTGAACCAGATGCCACACTTGCTGAGGCACGGGGGCCGGTTGCCACACTTGCCAAGGAATTGTTGCCGGTTGCTACTGCCGAGGCACGGGGGCCGGTTGCTGCTGCCGAGGCACGGGGGCCGGTTGCCACACTTGCCGAGGAATTGTCGCCGGTTGCTGCTGCCGAGGCACGGGGGCCGGTTGCTGCTGCCGAGGCACGGGGGCCGGTTGCTGCTGCTCCTGCAGAGGCGCCGGTTGCTCCTGCCGAGGCGACGGCGCCGGTTGCAACTGCCGAGGCGACGGCGCCGGTTGCAACTGCCGAGGCGACGGCGCCGGTTGCAACTGCCGAGGCGACGGCGCCGGTTGCTGCTGCCGAGGCACGGGGGCCGGTTGCTGCTGCCGAGGCACGGGGGCCGGTTGCTGCTGCCGAGGCACGGGGGCCGGTTGCTGCTGCCGAGGCACGGGGGCCGGTTACATCACCTAAGGTATTTGTGCCAGTTGCCACACTTGCTGAGGCATTGTGAATGGTTGCTTCTGCGGAGGCGGTTACTGTTGTTGCTGTGACACGGGAGCCGGTTCCTTTTAATGCAGTTTGTGGAATATATCTATAATTACCTAGGAAACAAAAGACAAACAACAAAAAAACTTACAAATAGTAAAAATGCCAGCATTTATAGTTATTGGAACTATACAAATACTGTGTTATTTTAACTGAATTAATTTGTGCAGAACAAACACACCTTTAGGTGGAGGATAACAGATTATCCCTCCAATTAGCAGGCAATAAATCCAAGAAATTCTAAATAAAAGAAATTCATAGTCAGTTAAACAAAGCTACCTGTAAAACCTGGAAGACAAGGGAAACAAACTAGAGGATTACAATTTACCTCAAAGAGAGTCCAAAGGTCACAGCCATTTTTCTCATCAAAACCTCACCAATATTCAGCACTGATGGTAGACAGACGCCTTACCAGAAGATCCCCCTTATTGTATCTGACAGTGTTTTGCTGCTCCTTCTAAAGGAATCCTAGACCCTTCTAATCTGGCTGGCTAATTAGGTACAGCTGCCAGCCACTGAATATAATTTCCATTGGTCCAATTTCCCAATTGAGATTAGGTGCGCTTGATTTCATTCAGCTGGTGTGCTGGAGGGGTTGCGCGTCATGGATCAATCCAATGGTTTTAAATAGTGACTCTACCTACCCATTGCACTGGGTGAGCTTAATCAAGTGCACCTTTTAAACCTTTTAATGAAGGCTAATGAAGTTCCTGCCAGGGGCTTTTGCAGGTGCAAACTCATTGGTCAGGTAGAAATGTGTTGGATAATAGCCTGTGGACACAGTAAGATTGTGTCCAAAAATGCTGGAGTCTGTTGACGTATGCTAGACAAGAGATTGTCCGACAACACAAAGAGTTTAACTTTTTACAGAAAAGCAGACAAATGAATGCGGATACAATTTTATCCATGTTCATGAGTCTTTGGCCGAACAGACAGTCAACTACAACAGGCAAATGTTTCAAGTTGTGTCAATGATTCCCAGGTGACAATTTATGCTAGCTAAACTTCCCTGCTAGTGCCTACCAGCTTCCTCTTTTAAAGTTAATGGATTCATTTAAGGTCTGAATTCTCATACTATGCAGTTAGATTTCACCAACAATACTTGAAAATGTACATGTTCTATGATCTGTAGTTTGTACAGAATATATTTGTTAATTGATAGGTTAAACCGTTCCAGGCATTATAAAGATAAAGTACACTGAATCCATTCTTTAGGAGTCTGTGGTAAGATAAATGGACTAGCAGGTGGAATGAGCGACAGGTCAAGAGTATTGACGCACATGTGCATCAATCTCGGTACCCAGAAAAATCCATCAGTTTAAGCTAGAAACATCAGGTTTTTGAATGGGCTGTGTCTCAATCCACTGCATCCGCTCATGTTGCCCTTCTTCATCTGGTGGATGGGGGCCGAGCTACAGCTGTGTTTGTCAGACCATGTGACATCATGAAAATCAGTCTTCGCACAAGAGAAACCTCAGTATTTCCAACACACAAGGTATTTTTTAAAGTAACACTATTTATTGATTCCATCATGCAAGAGTACCAGCAACTTCCTGAGCATGACTGACAACTAAAAGAAATGAGAACAGTGTCAGCAACACAGAATCTGTTGTCTTCAATTTTAGTCATTAAATCAATTCTCACCGTTAGAGCTTCCACCATTACATTTTCCTGTTGAAAGATACATGGTTAGTACAAAGGACTTCAAATTCAGATAACAACGTTCAGATTAAAGTTGTACATTTCCTCCCAGGATCCTTTACTAGTGGTGGGTATATGCTCGCTGCAGAGATGCCAACATGTTTGTCCTTGGGAGCGTCTCTGCTATCAAAAGGCAAAACCTCCCCACGAGTGTAGCGGGATTGGGAGAAGACCGTTTTGCCATTCTCGTAGCACGATTTGGAACTGTACTAATAGATTGGGATGAGAACCGACTGTTCAACGATGCTGGCGTGAGAGCTACTAGAGCCGCCATCTTTAGTTTTTTGTAGTGCTTCTGCTGAGACATTGGGGCCAGTTGCTGCTGGGGCATTTGGACTAGATGCCATAATTGCTGAGGCTGCTGGGGCATGGCGACCGGTTGCTTCTGTGGCATGGCGGTCGGCTGCGCCTGCTGCTGATGCTCAGTGGCAGGTTGCTTCTGTGGCCGGAGCATTTGAGCTGGATGCCACACTTGCTGGTGCATGGCGGCCGGTTGCTTCTGCGGCTGAGGCATGGCGGCCGGTTGCTTCTGCGGCTGAGGCATGGCAGTCGGTTGCTTCTGCTGCAGTGGCATTTGAGCTGGATGCCATTCTTGTGGGGAATGGAGGTCGGTTGTTTCTGCAGATGAGGCTCAGAGGCCGGTTGCTTCGGGGGCATTGGAGCTGGACGCCACACTTGCTGGGGCAAAGCAGGCGGTTGCTTGTGTTGCTGGGAATTTTTGCTGGATACCACACTTGCTGAGGCTGCTTAGGATCAGCGGCTGGTTGCTTTTGCTGCTGGGGCATTGGAGCTGGATACCACACTTCCTGAACCATGGCGGCTGAACGCTTGTGCTGCTGGGGCATTTGAGCCAGATGCCACACTCGCTGGGGCATGGCAGTCTGTTGCTTCTGCTGCTGGGGTATTTTAGCTGGATACCAGACTTGCTGAGGCTTCTTAAGATCAGAGCCCAGTTCCTTTTGCTGCTGGAGCATTGGAGCTGGATGCCACACTTTCTGAGGCTGCTGAGGCATGGCGGTCGGTTGCTTCTGCTGGGGCATTGGTGCTAGATGCCACACTTGCTGGGGAATGGCAGTCGGTTGTTTTTGCTGCTGGTGCATTTGAGCTGGACGCCACACTTGCTGGAGCATAGCATGCAGTTGCTTCGGATGCTGGGGAATTTGAGGTGGATACCACACTTGCTGAGGCTGCTGTGGCATGGGGTCTGGATGCCTCTGCTGCTGGGGCTCAGTGGCCGGTTGCTCTTGCATTTGAGCTGTTGGAGTGTTGTAATTGCCATATTCTATAGACAAAAGTGATCCTGTATAGGGCCATGCTGCATCGTAACCTGGTGCAGGATATTCATAATCTAGGTAACAAAGAAAATGTTTAACTGTAAAATGCCAGCCTTTTAAGTTATTGGACCTATACAACTGTTATTTGAAATTAATTGAATTAATGTATACAAACTCACCTTTTGGGTAAAACAGGTAATCCCACCAATTAACATGCAACAAATCCAATAAACTCTTAAGACAACACAGTCAGTGAAACACAACTACCTGTAACACCTGGAGGACAAGGGAAACAAACTAGATCAATACTTTTAAAAACATACCTCAAAGATACTTCAAAAGTCATAGCCATTTCACTGATCAAAACTTCACCAGTATTCAGAACTAATGGTAGCCATAAGCCCTACTAGAATATCCCTTTTGCTGTATCTGCAAGCCTTTTGGTTGCTCCTTTTAAAGAAATCCCAGAACCTTCTAATCTGACTGGCTAATTAGACACAGCAGTCTTCTATGGTATATTGGTATTCGCACAATTTAATGTGCATCCCGCCACCTACTGTGCGGGATGGAAACAGGATTCCCAAAAATTGAACAAAAAGAAACTGGCAAAACAACCAAAAGATAAAAAAATTAACTAAACCAAATCAAAAAACTTTTGTTAAATAAGAAAACAGATCTGATCCCTACACAGGCTCAAGGGGAACCTGAGAGGGAGGGTCTTCCGGTGCCAGTACCCCTTGCAAGTCTTCAGAGGTAAAATCCTTCAGTCCCAAAAACGTTTCTGCCGCAGCCAAAATAATGTCCAGTTTCTTAGACTTTTGAGACTTGTGCCGTACAGTTTAGAACTGTGGCAATGAACGCAACACAAAATCCACCTTTTTAACACAGGGTATCTTTTGACTGGCAGCAAACATTTACTACAGGTTGTGATGCATCCACTACCATATTATATCTTCACTAGAATCACTTGTTTTCTCAATTCTTTTAAAATCGCCTCCTCATAGGAGATTCGATTGACCGCTCTAACCTTTGCCACCTCAATCTCCTTCACCCTTACAGGGCACTCCAGGAACTCGGGATCATGATCCCCACCACAATTGTAACACCGTCGTCCTTCTACATACTCTGTCCATCTGCACACACTTGAGACATGGCCAAATCCTTTACAATTCTTACACTACAATGGTTTGAGGACGAAGGCTCTTTACATAACCAAGCTTCACATGCGTAGGTATTTGCTCATTATCAAAAAACAGGACCGACACACTTTCTTATTTTTCTCCATTTACCCAGCAGGTCAGACGCCGGGCACCAACCACACCAGGAATTTTCTTCAGGTATTCAACCTGAACATCTGTTGTCACCCCTGAGATGACTCCTTTGACGGGTGCTCTACTCCAAAGTTCAAAACACAAAACTTATGTTGTTCAGATTCTTTTGAGGCTCGCTGCAATCTTCCTCTGTTCTTCAGAAATACAATTAATCAAAATAAGACCACTCCTGGTCACTCTGACAGACTCCACTTTTCCCAGCACATACTTCACCATACGTCGACACCTCAAACTGGTTTCCCACATATGCATCCTTACTCAACAAACGCATCCCAACAACAACTGATTCATTATCATTCATACATGTATCCTCCACTCCAATTTTAGACAATTTCCTTTTTGCTCCAGTTTTCGCTACTACAGTTGTCCATTCAGAACATTAGTCTTCACCAACTTTGCTCGACGTGCTGCTTGATTTGAACTCAGCATCCACTTCCGCCATCTTTTAATGTTCACTTTCAGAAGCCTGAACGTCAGCAGGGACAGCTGTCAGCTACTGAACTACATTGAATTCCAAATTTCAAATTGACCCTCTAAGTCCTACACACTTCTGTGGATTAGAAATGATTGGATAGGTATTAGCATTATGGCCACAATTCCATCCAGCCTGTCTCACTAACTTTAAGCATCAGTTGTCAGAGCAGCTTACCGATCACTGCACCTGCACACAGCCCATCTGTAATTAGCCCACCCAACTACCTCATCCCCATATTGTTATTTACATTGTTATTTATTTTGCTCATTTGCACCCCAGTATCTCTATTGGCACATAATCCTTTGCACATCTATCACTCGTGTTAATACTAAATTGTAATTATTTTGCACTATGGCCTATTTATTGCCTTACCTCATTTGCACACACTGTATATAGATTTTCTATTGTGTTATTGACTGTACGTTTTGTTTTTGTTTATTCCATATGTAACTCTGTTGTTGTTTTTAATCGCACTGCTTTGCTTTATCTTGGCCAGGTCGCAGTTGTAAATGAGAACTTGTTCTCAACTGGCTTACCTGGTTAAATAAAGGTTAAATAAAATAAAATACATTTAAAAAAAGGCAAGGTGAAGCAATTACCATATTGCTTTAACCGGTTTCAAATGCCCATAAGTGACTAGGTGGTAGGTGTAGTGACTAGGGTTTGATTTGGAATTCAGAAATTTACTCAGGTGTGGTTGATTTCCTAAATTAGTTCCTGACAAAGGACCAAAATTATTTATTGGTTGCGTTCTATTTTTGACAGCCCTAATTCTATAGCACGTGTCAAACTCATTCAACAGAGGGCAGAGTTTCTGCGTGTTCTCTCCTCCCTTGTACTTACTTGATTAATTAAGGTCACTAATTAGTAAAGCAATCCCCTCACCTGGTTGTCTAGGTCCTAATTGAAAGGAAAAACCCAAAACCTGCACACACTAGTGTCAGGATGTCAGTGTGATGCGGTAGGACGAAGTCAGGGGCAGGACACAGAGCTAATCGAAAACGTACTTTACTCGTAGGTAACGTCAAATACCATAACCTCCTCGCAGGGAGGAAACAAACCCGCTCACCAGACGACAACCAAACATGAACAAACACGCACAACATACAGTGGGAGCCAGAGGGTTAAATAGGGCAGTGATCAATAATAATGGGAAACAGGTGTGAACAATCAAGACAAGACAAGTAGAACACAGAAACATAGATCGGTGGCAGCTAGTACTCCGGTGACGACGAACGCTGAAGCCTGCCCGAGCAAGGAGGAGGAGCAGCCTCGGCTGAATCCGTGATAGTACCCCCCCCCCCCCCCCCCCCCCCCTTGACGCGCAGCTCCAGCCGAGCGCCGACACCGGCCTCGGGGACGGCCAGGAGGACGCGGCGCAGGGTGAGTCGGATGACGACGGTGGAAATCCCTCAACATGGAGGGATCGAGGATGTCCCTCCTAGGGACCCAGCACCGTTCCTCCGGACCGTACCCCTCCCACTCCACGAGATGCTGCAGGCCCCCCACCCGACGCCTCAAATCCAGGATGGACCGGACCGAGTATGCCAGTGCCCCCTCGATGTCCAGTGGGGGCAGAGGAACCTCCCGTACCTCAGACTCCTGGAGTGGACCAGCTACCACCGGCCTGAGGAGAGACACATGGAACGAGGGGTTAATAAGGTAATTCAGAGGAAGCTGTAACCTATAACAAACCTCGTTCAATCTCCTCAGGACTTTAAATGGCCCCACAAACCGCTGACCCAGCTTCCGGCAGGGCAGGCGAAGGGGCAAGTTTCGGGTCGAGAGCCAGACCCGGTCCCCCGGTGTACCTCACTGCGGTGGCGGTCAGCGCTCGCCTTTTGTCGCCTGATGGCCCGCTGCAGGCGTACATGGGCAGCGTTCCAGGTCTCTTCCGAGCGCCGAAACCACTCATCCACCACAGAAGCCTCGATCTGGCTCTGATGCCAAGGTGCCAAGACCGGCTGATAACCTAACACACACTGAAAGGGAGAAAGGTTAGTGGACGAGTGGCGTAGTGAGTTTTGGGCCATTTCTGCCCAGGGGATAAAACCCAACCACAGACAGTACAGCTCCAATCCCAGCCTTGGACGCGTCCACCTCCACCTGGAATGCTAAGGAGGGATCCGGATGAGACAGCACTGGAGCCGAGGTAAACAGGTTCTTCAGATGACCAAAAGCCCTGTCCGCCTCAGCTGACCACTGCAGTCGCACCGGTCCCCCCTTCAGCAAGTAGGTAATGGGAGCCAATACCTGACCAAAGCCCCGGATAAACCTCCGGTAGTAGTTGGCAAAACCCAAAAATCGCTGCACCTCCTTCACCGTGGTTGGAGTCGGCCAATTACGCATGGCCGAAATGCGGCCAATCTCCATCTCCACCCCTGACGCGGACAGGCGGTGCCCTAGGAAGGAGATGGACTCTTGGAAGAACAGACATTTCTCTGCCTTCACATACAGGTCATGCTCCAACAGTCGACCAAGCACTTTACGCACCAGGGACACATGCTCGGCCCGTGTAGCGGAGTATATGAGAATGTCATCAATATACACCACTACACCCTGTCCGTGCAGGTCCCTGAAAATCTCATCAACAAAGGATTGGAAGACTGATGGAGCATTCATCAACCCGTATGGGTTGCAGTAGTGGCACAGTGGTCTAAGGCACTGCATCGCAGTGCTAACTGTGCCACTAGATCCTGGTTCGAATCCAGGCTCTGTCGCAGCCGGCCGCGACCGGGAGATTCATGGGCGTCGCACAATTGGCCCAGCGTCGTCCAGGGTAGGGTAGGGAATGGCCGGCAGGGATGTAGCTCAGTTGATAGAGCATGGCGTTTGCAACGCCAGGGTTGTGGGTTCGATTCCCACGGGGGGCCAGTATAAAAAAAAAAAATGTATTCACTAACTGTAAGTCGCTCTGGATAAGAGCGTCTGCTAAATGACTAAAATGTAAATGTAATGTAAATGTATGGCATGACTAGGTACTCATAATGCCCAGAGGTGGTACTGAATGCTGTCTTCCACTCATCTCCCTCCCAGATACGCACCAGGTTGTACGCGCTCCTGAGATCCAATTTTGTGAAAAAGCACGCCCCGTGCAATGACTCCGTCATACTAGCAATGAGTGGTAGTGGATAACTGTACTTGATAGTAATCTGATTGAGACCCCGGTAGTCAATGCACAGGCGTAAATCTCCATCCTTTTTCTTCACAAAAAAGGAACTTGAGGAGACAGGTGAAGTGGATGGCCGAATGTATCCCTGCCCCAGAGATTCGGAGACATATGTCTCTATAGCCGCCGTCTCTTCCTGTGACAGGGGATACACGTGACTCTTGGGAAGTGCAGCGCCTACCTGGAGATTTATCGCACAATCCCCCTGTCAAAGGGGTGGTAATTGAGTCGCCTTCTTTTTACAGAAGGCGAGAGACAGATCGGCATATTAGGGGGGAATGTGCATGGTGGAGACCTGGTTTGGACTTTCCACCATAGTTGCCCCTATGGAAACACCTACACACCTCCCCAAACACTGACTTGACCATCCCTTGAGAGCCCTCTGTTGCCATGAAATAGTGGAAATACAATATCTATACACATATGCGCAACAGGGAGCTCTGGGTGAGTCGGGTGCCTACTCACCTGAGACGGTCCACCAGTGCTCTGCCTACCGCCTCGACTCCTGAAGGACCCTCCCCAGCACAGACCAGCAGTGTGTCCTCCGCGGCCACAGTTGGTGCAGGAGATGGCCCTCCTTCCGGTCTCCCTAAGTGCAGCACCTCCGAGCTCCATAGGGGTGGGGTCGTCTATTCCGTCTATTACGTCCGTGGGTTGCCAACAGGTTATCCAGCCTGATCGACATGTCCACCAGTTGGTCCAGGTTAAGGGTGTCCTCCCGAAGGCTGCATCTGTAGTGATCGATCAGGGCCCTGCACTGGCAGCCAGAGTTCTGAAGTCCAGGGCAAAGTCCTGTGCGCTCCTCTTCCCCTGTCTGAGGTGGAATAGACGTTCCCCCGCCGCTCTCCCCTCCGGTGGATGATCGAATACCGCCCGAAAGCGGCAGGTGAAATCCTCATAGCGTACTGACGCTGCGTCTATTCCTCTCCACTCGGCGTTGGCCCATTCAAACACTTTTCCCGACAGACAGGAGATGAGGGCGGACACGCTCTCGTATCCCGAGGGAGGCAGCTGTCCCATCGTATGCCCTCGGAGCGAGAGCCGAATCCCACTGGACCCAGGTGACGAAGGGGTGGACAGCAGTGTGGGTGGTTGTGTAGTTGGAGGAGGTGTAGGACCACCACCTCTCTCCCATCGTATCATAGTGTTCAACACGCGCTCCATTGCGGTACTGAGAGTCTGGATCATGGTCGCCTGCTGTTGGACACGTTCCTCCATTGATCCGGACGAAATGAATGTACCTGCTGACTCCATATTTTGGTGCGTGTTTCTGTCAGGATGTCAGTGTGATGCGGTAGGACGAAGTCAGGGGCAGGACACAGAGCTAATCGAAAACGTACTTTACTCGTAGGTAACGTCAAATACCATAACCTCCACGCAGGGAGGAAACAAACCCGCTCACCAGACGACAACCAAACATGAACAAACACGCACAACATACAGTGGGAGCCAGAGGGTTAAATAGGGCAGTGATCAATGATAATGGGAAACAGGTGTGAACAATCAAGACAAGACAAGTAGAACACAGAAACATAGATCGGTGGCAGCTAGTACACCGGTGACGATGAACGCCGAAGCCTGCCCGAGCAAGGAGGAGGAGCAGCCTCGGCTGAATCTGTGACAACTAGGCCCTCCATGGAATGAGTTTGACACCCCTGCTCTAAAGTAAGAAAGACATTTTGTCTTTGCACTTCATTGATCGGTTTAAATTATTGATTGTACAAAATTCACTTGGTTCATTTTAAGATTAGAGGCTAAATGAGCAGTTAGGCACCACTATTTTACACATGCCTTCTTTTAAACAGTGTGGTGCATTCAGGATAGCGACACTTTGCTGATTAACAGGTTCAGTTGCACATAGTGCAACAACTTTGGACAAATTCTGAATTCAGACATCAATTAAACACTCACCAATGCTTTTGCTGATCTGAGTCTTTAATGTTTCAGAGGCAAACATAGGACGCGTTTGAGTGGTAAGGCTAAAGCAACTGACTTTAGACCAAAGTCGAGTAGTAAAGTCAGGAGAGGTGCATCTGCGACAGCCGAAACTCAGACACTAATGTCGTTTTCCAACAGCAAGTCTCACATCACCATGGCAGTGTTGCCATTGTTTATAAAAGGTTTTCTTTATAATGTAAAAAAACATGTCTCCAAAACCCACTTATAAGTGTGTACATTATACAATCAATTAGTGAGAGAGCCTCAATCACAGACATTTATTCACTGTAGGCTACACATGAATTGCAGCAAATTCCTGTTTCAGTGACTTCTTTGGTCACGTTTGCGTGGGTCAAACAGAAACTTGCAGTCTACTACCTTTGATCACATTACTTTTGTAAAGTTTATGCAGTCGACATGTAAACTCAAGTCTGACATTTTTTATCCCCAGAATGCAACACACTTTGAAAGGCGGTGACCAACCTGGCACCATCCCTACGGTGAAGCATGGTGGTGGCACCATCCCTACGGTGAAGCATGGTGGTGGCAGCATCATGCTGTGGGGGTGTTTTTCAGCAGCAGGGACTGGGAGACTAGTCAGGATCGAGGCAAAAGATGAACGGAGCAAAGTACAGAGAGATCCTTGATGAAAACCTGCTCCAGAGCGCTCAGGACCTCAGACTAGGGCGAAGGTTTACCTTCCAACAGGACAACGATCCTAAGCACACAGCCAAGACAACGCAGGAGCGGCTTCGGGACAAGTCTTTGAATGTTCGAGTGGCCCTGCAAGAGCCCGGACTCTTTTTAGTTACCACTCCCCGTTGAGCAGGAGGTGTACCTTCACCTCAGACTGGAACAGACACACTGCTGTCAGAGATAAAGGGAAAGGTATGGGAAATATATTAAAATAGGCATGTGCCAGTACACTGACTGTATGTTGGTATTGTCTAGTTGTGTCTGAACATGAAAGGCTAATAATACAAAGATGTGATGCCAAGGTGTAGTTTTAACAAGGCTGGTTTTAATCTGGTGTAAATTTGCTATCGTAGTAGTTGTAATGCGAGTCAAGCAGGGGATTTCTGATGGACATTTCGGACGGTTGCTTCTGCCGAGTCGTTGTGGCTGGTTGCTTCTGCTGAGGAGTCATGGGAGCCGGTTGCAAATGTTGCTGGGACACGGAAGCCAGTTCCTTTTGTTGCTGGGGTATAGGAGCCTGTTCCTTTTGTTGCTGGGGTATAGGAGCCTGTTCCTTTTGTTGCTGGGATATAGGAGCCTGTTCCTTTTGTTGCTGGGGTATAGGAGCCTGTTCCTTTTGTTGCTGGGATATAGGAGCCTGTTCCTTTTGTTGCTGGGGTATAGGAGCCTGTTCCTTTGGTTGCTGGGGTATAGGAGCCTGTTCCTTTTGTTGCTGGGGTATAGGAGCCTGTTCCTTTTGTTGCTGGGGTATAGGAGCCTGTTCCTTTTGTTGCTGGGGTATAGGAGCCTGTTCCTTTTGTTGCTGGGGTATAGGAGCCTGTTCCTTTTGTTGCTGGGGTATAGGAGCCTGTTCCTTTTGTTGCTGGGGTATAGGAGCCTGTTCCTTTGGTTGCTGGGGTATAGGAGCCTGTTTCTTTGGTTGCTGGGGTATAGGAGACGGTTCCTTTTAATGCAGTTTGGGGAATATATCTATAATTACCTAGTAAAGAAAGACAAAGTTGAAAATAGTCAAATGCCAGAATTTGAAGTTATTGGAACTATACAAATACTGTTATTTTAACTGAATTAATGTGTAGAACAAACACCTTTAGGTGTAGAATAACAGGTTATCCCTCCCATGAATAGATCAATTTAAGGTCTGAATTCTCATAATATGCAGTTAGTGAAAGATTTCAATAACAATACTTGCTTTAGAAAAATTTACATGTTCAAAGACGATCTGTAGTCTGTATAAAATATATTAGTTAATTGATAGGTTAAACAGTTCCAAGCACTTTAATGATTCATTACACTGAATCCATTCTTTAGGAGCCTGTGGTTACTAAGATAAACAATAGACTAACAGGAGGAATGAGCTACAGGTTAAAGAATAAGTCAAGATTATCTCAAAACCATATACAATGCATGCTGTAGTATCTTAGGATGCTTCTTAGAGCGAGGACTACAGACACATAAGTATGTTTTAGTATTTAATTGTAACTTTTAATAACATTACAGGAATGCACCTGGAGTAAGCTACCTGAGGCTTTTTAAACTATAGTTGACAAATGGCCTACCTAATGTAAATAAGTAGAAATGTGTCTAAATTAGGGGTGAAAGTAGCCATTATTAAAAAGCTAAATTATGGTGGATCAAACTGTGCAGGTAGCCTATTTTTTGAAGTGATTTGTTTGACAGATGAAATCACAGCACCCATGAAATGCAAAATGGAGCCCGCGCAGTCTGCAAAAACAGGATAAGATGTTTACATGCCACAGTATCCCATCGTCGATCAACTTATCCTGGTTTCTCATAACCGAGACACATGCTTTTTCAGGTTATTGTAATCAGGATGTGTGTCAATGCAAGCTGAACACTATCCCGAATAATAATGGGATATTGGTGTGCTTGTAAACATGGTCAGTGGCTAATGTAGAGCTAGTCTTGGAATTTGAACATCCAGTAGCAAAGATAAAAAAACAGATTTGAAAACCAAAAGCTGAGGAACTGAACCACATTCCCTTTTACTACAAACTGCACTGGCAACCAACACTGTTCTCAATCAGCTAGACAAAGGTAGACATGAACGAACACTCAGTATTTCAAACAAAAGGAGGCACTTAAATGTAAAATATTTTATTGTTCAAGTAATGCAGGGTAGTAGGAGCAGCAGCAACTCCCTGGCCAAATCAAAAGCATACAGTGGAACCTAAAAGGAAGTGTCAGCAACAACTCAGAATTGTCATCATTTTTAGTTATTAAAATCAAGTCCTACCATTGGAGCATCCAAAGGATGAATCCGCCATTAGAATTCTGTTGATAGATAATTAGTACAAAGGATTTCAAAATCAGAAAGCAAAGTTCAGATGAGTAAAAGTTGCATTGCATCCCAGGAGCATTTCCTTGTAGTGGGGTTCCTTTAGCAGGTTGAGAGTTTAGCAGGTGGGGATATGCTTGGGTCAGAGATGCCAACATCACTACAGTCCTTGGGAGCATCTCCACTATCAAAAGGTATAACCTCCCCAGGGGTGTAGCAGGATTTGGAGAAGACAGTTTTGCCCCTCTCATAAACCAATTTGTAACTAGATTGGAATGAGAACAGACTGTTCAATGAAGATGCCTTGAGTGCTACTGGAGCTGACGTCTTGAGTGCTTTCATTGACACCGACATCAGACCCAACATCCTGAGAACCATCACTGCTGCTAAAATCCATGTTGCTTGAGGAGTTGGCCCTCCTGTTCAAGGCCTATCGAGTCGGCCGAGGCGCCGGTTACTTCACCTAAGGTATTTTGGTCAGTCGCCACACTTGCTGAGGCATTGTGGCCGTTTCTTTCCGCGGAGGGGGCATTGTGGCCGGTTGCTTCCGCGGCGGAGGCATTGTGGCCGGTTGCTTCCGCGGCGGAGTTTTTGTGGCCGGTTGCTTGGCTGCAGTTTGGGGAATATATCTATAATTACCTAGGAAAAAGACAACTTCAAAATAGTAAAGACAGCATTTGACGTTCTTGGAATATCGCTACCTGTAAAAGCTGAAAGACAAGGGAAACAAACTAGAGCGATACAACTTACCTCAAAGACCAAAAGTCACAGTATTCAGAACTAATGATAGCCAGAAGCCTTACCAGGAGATCCCCCTTATTATATCTGATTATCTTTTCTTGCTGCGCCTTATAAAGTAATCCTAGACCCTTCTAATCTGGCTGGTTAAATAGGTACAGCTGCCAGCCACTGAACATCATTTCCATAGGTCCAACTTCCCAATTGTGATTAGGTGCACTTGGTTTCATTCAGCTAGTGGGTTTGCACATCATGGACCAATCCGATGGTTTTAAAGAGTGAACTCTACCTACCCATTGCACTGGGTGAGCTTAATCAAGTGCACCTTTTAATGAACGCTAATGAAGTTCCTGCCAGGGGCTTTTGCAGGTGCAACCTCAGTGGTCAGGTAGAAATGTGTTGTGCAAAAAGGCTGCAGACACAGTAAGATTGTGACAAAAAAATGAACTGGAGTCGTCTGTTGACGTATGCTAGACTAGAGATTGTCCATCAACACAGAGTCTAACTTCTTACATAAAAGCAGACAATTGAATGCATATACAATTTCATCCATGTTCATGAGTCTTTGGCCGAACAGACAGTCGACTACAACAGGCAAATGTGTCAAGTTGTGTCAATGTTTGTGAATAAGTCCCAGGTGACACCTTATGCTAGCTAAGCTTCCCTGCTAGTGCCTACTGGCATTCTCTTTGGATCTTAATGGATCCATTTAAGGTCTGAATTCTCATACTATGCAGTTCGATGATTTCACCAACAATACTTGGTTTAGAAAAATGTACATGTTCTAAAACGATCTGTAGTCTGCACAGAATATATTTGTTAATTGATAGGTTAAACTGTTCCAGGCATTGTAAAGTTAAAGTACACTGAATCCATTCTTTAGGAGCCTTTGGTGCGATAAATGGAATAGGAGCAATGAGCTACAAGTTAAATATCTATTGAAGCACTTGTGAATCAATCTAGGTAACAAAAAAAATCCATCAGTTTAAGCTAGAAATATCCGTTTTTTGCATGGGCTGCTTCTCAATCCACTGCATCCGCCTATGTCGCCCTTCCGCATCTGCCGTCGACGAGCTACAGCAGAGTTTGTCAGACCATTAGACATTACAAAAATTGGTCTTCTCACGAAAACGTCTGAACCGTTTGGCCTACAAACTATTGTGACCACTATGGAAAGGGGAGACTCACGTACATGGTTCCGTTCTGCTCTACGACCGCCATAAGTTAGACTCATCTGAAGGTAACCTATGCAAACAAATGGAGGTAGTTGTACCAACATACACAAGGGGTTAAATATGTGCCCAAAAAAACATGTCTTGAGCCATCACTTAGATGACAGACTTCAAAACTTCGCCATTTATAAAAGGTGTCATTCAATGCATTTCTATGGGCTATAGTAGTAAAGGCTATTTAATATTTTGACGCCTAAAGATTTATATAGCTAAATGATTATGGTATGCCCAGTTACAATTGTCCCAACACTAATGTATGCCTACATAACATCTAAAGTGCACTACATAACCAAAACTGGAGACTCGAACATCTCATTTAAAAAATCATGGTCATTAATATGGAGTTGGTCCCCCCCCTTTGCAGCTTTAACAGCCTCCACTTGTCTGGGAAGGCGTTCCACTAGATGGAACATTGGCCTTGCTTCCATTCAGCCACAAGAGCAATAGTGAGGTCGGGCGATTAGGCCTGGCTCGCAGTCTGCGTTCCAATTCAGCCCAAAAGTGTTTGATGGGGTTGATGTCAAGGCTCTGTGCACGCCCGTCAAGTTTTTCCACACATCGTTTCTGTATGGACCTCGCTTTGTTCAGGGGCATTGTCATGCTGAAACAGGAAAGGGCCTTCCCCAAACTTGGAAGCACAGAATTGTCTAGGATGTCATTCTATGCTGTAGCGTTAAAGATTCCGTCACTGGAATTAAGGGGCCTAGCCCAAACAGCCCCAGACCATTATTGCACCAAACTTTTAAGTTGGCACTATGCAGTCAGGCAGGTAGCATTCTCCTGGCATCCGCCAAACCCAGAGTCACACTTTGGACTGCCAGATGGTTTAGAGTCATGTCACGCCAGAGAAGGCATTTCCATTGCGCTAGAGTCCAATGGCAGCGAGCTTTACCAGCCGAAGCTTGGAATTGCACAGTGATCGTAGGCTTGTGTGCAGCTGCTCAGCCATGGAAACATGTCATGAAGCTCCCGAACAGTTCTCCTGCTGACGTTAGAGGTAGTTTGTAACTCGTTACTGAGTGTTGCAACCGAGGACAGGTGATTTTATTTGCTACAGCGGTCCCATTCTGAGAGCTTGTGGACCATCATATTAACAGCACTTTGTTGACCGGGGGAGCGCTGTAGCAAAGGTAAAAACCAGAGAAACTGAACCACATTCCCTTTTACTACCAACTGCACTGGCATCCCACACCATTTATTTGAAATCAGCAAGCACACTAGTACCATCAGTATTTCAAAGACAAACATATTTTAAATTAAAATGGTTTATTGATTAAATCACAAGAGTAGCAAGTGCACCAGCAACTTCTGGGCAACACAAATGAATGACTGAAACCTGAAAGAAATTAAAACAGTATCAGCAACAAAATCTTATGTCATACATTTTTGTTAAAATAAAGTCTCACCTTTAGCTTCTAAAGGATGAATCCACCATTAGATTTTCCTGTTGGTAGATACATGGTTAGTACAAAGGACTTCAAATTCAGAAAGCAAAGCTCAGATCAGGTTAAAGTTGTACATTACCTTGAAGGATCCTTTACTAGTGGTGGGTATATGCTTGGTTCAGCGATGCCAACATGATTGTTCTTGGGAGCACTTCCACTATCACCAGGCATAGCCTCCCCAGGAGTGTAGCGGGTTTGGGAGAAGACAGTTTTGCCATTCTCGTAGCGAGATTTGGAACTGTAGGAATAAATTGGAATGAGGACAGACTGTTCAACGATGCTGGCCTGAGAGCTACCAGAGCCGTCATCTTCAGTGCTTTCGAAGTGCTTCTGCGGAGACATTAAGGCCAGTTGCTTTTGGGGCATTTGAGCTAGATGCCATAATTGCTGAGGCATGGCAACTGGTTGCTTCTGTGGCATGGCGGTAGGTTGCAACTGCTGCTGATGCTCAGCAGCCGGTTGCTTTTTCTGCTGGGGCATTAGAGCTGGTTGCCACACTTGCTGAGGCTGCTGGGGTATGGGGGTCAGTAGCTTCTGTTGCATTGAAGCTGGACGCCACACTTGCTGAGGCTGATGGGGAATTGGGATCGGTAGCGTCTGCTGCTGGGGCATTGGAGCTGGTTGCCAAACTTGCTGAGGCATGGTGGTAGGTTGTGACTGCTGCTCAGAGGCCGGTTGCTTTTGCTGCTGGGGCATTGGCTGCCACACTTGCTGAGGCATGGGGATCGGTAGCATCTGCTGCTGGGGCAGTTGAGCTGGATTCCACACTTGCTGGGGCTGCTTAGGATCAGCAGCCAGTTGCTTTTTCTGCTGGGGCATTGGAGCTGGTTGCCACACTTGCTGAGGCTGATGGGGAATGGGGGTCGGTAGCTTCTGCTGCATTGAAGCTGGACGCCACACTTGCTGGGGCATAGAATGCGGTTGCGTCTGCTGCTGGGGCATTTGAGCTGGATACCACACTTGCTGGGGCTGCTTAGGATCAGCAGCCAGTTGCTTTTGCTGCTGGGGCATTGGAGCTGGTTGCCACACTTGCTGAGGCTGATGGGGAATGGGGATCGGTAGCTTCTGCTGCATTGAAGCTGGACGCCACACTTGCTGGGGCATAGGTGGTTGCTTCTGGGGCATTGGAGCTGGATACCACACTTGCTGGGGCTGCTTAGGGTCAGCAGCCGGTTGCTTTTTCTGCTGGGGCATTGGAGCTGGTTGCCAAACTTGCTGAGGCATGGTGGTATGGATCAGCGCCGTTGCTTTGCTGCTGGGGCATTGGCTGCCACACTTGCTGAGGCTGCTGGGGTATGGGGATTGGTAGCTTCTGCTGCTGGGGAAGTTGAGCTGGATTCCACACTTGCTGGGGCTGCTTAGGGTCAGCAGCCGGTTGCTTTTGCCACACTTGCTGAAGGGAAATGGGGGTCAGTAACTTCTGTTGCATTGAAGCTGGATTCCACACTTGCTGGGGCATAGAAGGCGGTTGCGTCTGCTGCTGGGGCATTTGAGCTGGATACAACACTTGCTGGGGCTGCTTAGGATCAGCAGCCAGTTGCTTTTGCTGCTGGGGCATTGGAGCTGGTTGCCACACTTGCTGAGGCTGATGGGGAATGGGGATCGGTAACTTCTGCTGCATTGAAGCTGAACGCCACACTTGCTGGGGCATAACAGGCGGTCGCTTCTGCTGCATTTGAGCTGGATACCACACTTGCTGAGGCATGGCTGTTGGTTGCTTCTGCTGCATTGGAGCTGGATTCCACACTTGCTGAGGCATGGCAGTTGGTTGCTTCTGCTGCATTGGAGCTGGTTGCCACACTTGCTGAGGCATGGCAGTTGGTTGCTTCTGCTGCATTGGAGTTGGATTCCACACTTGCTGAGGCATGGCAGTTGGTTGCTTCTGCTGCATTGGAGTTGGATTCCACACTTGCTGGGGCATGGCAGTAGGTTGCGACTGCTGCTCAGCGGCCGGTTGCTTTTGCTGCCACACTTGCTGGGGCATAGCAGGTGGTTGCTTCTGCTGCATTGGAGCTGGATTCCACACTTGCTGAGGCATGGCAGTTGGTTGCTTCTGCTGCATTGGAGCTGGATTCCACACTTGCTGGGGCATGGCAGTAGGTTGCGACTGCTGCTCAGCGGCCGGTTGCTTTTGCTGCCACACTTGCTGGGGCATAGCAGGTGGTTGCCTCTGCTGCATTGGAGCTGGATTCCACACTTGCTGAGGCATGGCAGTTGGTCGCTTCTGCTGCATTGGAGCTGGATTCCACACTTGCTGAGGCATGGCAGTTGGTTGCCTCTGCTGCATTGGAGCTGGTTGCCACACTTGCTGAGGCATGGCAGTTGGTTGCTTCTGCTGCATTGGAGTTGGATTCCACACTTGCTGGGGCATGGCAGTAGGTTGCGACTGCTGCTCAGCGGCCGGTTGCTTTTGCTGCCACACTTGCTGGGGCATAGCAGGTGGTTGCTTCTGCTGCATTGGAGCTGGATTCCACACTTGCTGAGGCATGGCAGTTGGTTGCTTCTGCTGCATTAGAGCTGGATTCCACACTTGCTGGGGCATGGCAGTAGGTTGTGACTGCTGCTCAGCGGCCGGTTGCTTTTGCTGCCACACTTGCTGGGGCATAGCAGGTGGTTGCCTCTGCTGCATTGGAGCTGGATTCCACACTTGCTGAGGCATGGCAGTTGGTCGCTTCTGCTGCATTGGAGCTGGATTCCACACTTGCTGAGGCATGGCAGTTGGTTGCTTCTGCTGCATTGCAGCTGGTTGCCACACTTGCTGGGGCATGGCAGTTGGTTGCTTCTGCTGCATTGGAGCTGGATTCCACACTTGCTGGGGCATGGCAGTAGGTTGCGACTGCTGCTCAGCGGCCGGTTGCTTTTGCTGCCACACTTGCTGGGGCATAGCAGGTGGTTGCTTCTGCTGCATTGGAGCTGGATTCCACACATGCTGAGGCATGGCAGTTGGTTGCTTCTGCTGCATTGGAGCTGGATTCCACACTTGCTGGGGCATGGCAGTAGGTTGTGACTGCTGCTCAGCGGCCGGTTGCTTTTGCTGCCACACTTGCTGGGGCATAGCAGGTGGTTGCCTCTGCTGCATTGGAGCTGGATTCCACACTTGCTGAGGCATGGCAGTTGGTCGCTTCTGCTGCATTGGAGCTGGATTCCACACTTGCTGAGGCATGGCAGTTGGTTGCTTCTGCTGCATTGCAGCTGGTTGCCACACTTGCTGGGGCATGGCAGTTGGTTGCTTCTGCTGCATTGGAGCTGGATTCCACACTTGCTGAGGCATGGCAGTTGGTTGCTTCTGCTGCATTGCAGCTGGTTGCCACACTTGCTGGGGCATGGCAGTTGGTTGCTTCTGCTGCATTGGAGCTGGATTCCACACTTGCTGGGGCATGGCAGTAGGTTGCGACTGCTGCTCAGCGGCCGGTTGCTTTTGCTGCCACACTTGCTGGGGCATAGCAGGTGGTTGCCTCTGCTGCATTGGAGCTGGATTCCACACTTGCTGAGGCATGGCAGTTGGTCGCTTCTGCTGCATTGGAGCTGGATTCCACACTTGCTGAGGCATGGCAGTTGGTCGCTTCTGCTGCATTGGAGCTGGATTCCACACTTGCTGAGGCATGGCAGTTGGTTGCTTCTGCTGCATTGCAGCTGGTTGCCATACTTGCTGGGGCATGGCAGTTGGTTGCTTCTGCTGCATTGGAGCTGGATTCCACACTTGCTGGGGCATGGTAGTTGGTTGTGACTGCTGCTCAGCGGCCGGTTGATTTTGCTGCTGGGGCATTGGAGCTGGTTGCCACACTTGCTGATGGGGAATGGGGGTCGGTAGCGTCTGGGGAATTGGAGCTGGACCCCATACTTGCTGGGGCATAGCAGACGGTTGCTTCTGCTGCTGGGGAATTTTAGCAGGATACCACACTTGCTGAGGCACATTGGCCAGTTGATTCTGCTGCTGGGGAATTTGGGCTAGAGGTGACACTTGCTGAGACTTAAGTGGCATGGCAGCTGGTTGCTTCTGCTGCTGAGGCATGGCAGTCGGTTGCGTCTGTGGCTGAGGCTCAGTGGCCGGTTGATTCTGCTGCTGGGCCAGTTGTTCTTGCATTTGAGCTTTTCGAGAGTTGTCATTGCCATAGCCCATTGACAAAAGGGATCCTGCATAGGGCCATGCTGCATTGTAAACTGGTGCAAGATATTCATCATCTAGGTAACAAAGAAAATGTTTAACTGTAAAATGCCAGCCTTTGAAGTTAGACCTATACAACTGTTATGAAATGAATGTAGAAACTCACCTTTTGATGTAGAACAGGTTATCCCTCCGATTAACATGTAACAAATCCAAGAAACTCTTAAGAAAAAAATAATGTCAATTAAACAACTACCTGTAACACAAGGGAAACAAACTAGAGAATTACAACATACCTCAAAGAGAGTCCAAAAGTCATAGCCATTTCCCTGATCAAAACCTCACCAGTATTCAGAACTAATGGTCGCCATAAACCCTACCAGAATATCCCTTTCGCTGTATTTGCAAGCCTTTTGGATGCTCCTTATAAAGGAATCCCAGACTCTTCTAATGTGGCTGGCTAATTATTGACAGCTGTCAACCACTGAACTACATTTAATTCCTAAGTTCTACACCCTGGCCTAGACACTTCTGTTGATCAGAAATGAATTGATAGGTATAAGCAATATGGCCACAATTCCGAAGGCAAGGTGAATAATTACCATATTGCTTTAACTTATGTTTCAAATGCCCAAAAGTGACTAGGTGGTAGGTGTAGTGTCTAGGGGTTGATTTGGAATTCAGAAATTAGCTCAGGTGTGGTTGATTTCCTAGTTTAGTTCCTGACAAAGGACCAAAATAAATGATTTGTTGCTTTTTCTCTTTTTGACAGGTTTGACAGCCCTACCTCTATAGCACGTGTCAAACTCATTCCACGGAGGGCCAAGTTTCTGCGGGTTTTCTGTCCTCCCTTGTACTTGATTGATACATTAAGGTCACTAATTAGTAAATAACTCCCCTCACCTGGTTGTCTAGGTCTTAATTGAAAGGAAAAACCAGAAACCTGCACACACTAGGCCCTCCATGGAATGAGTTTGACACCCCTGCTCTAAAGTAAGAAACACATTTTGTTTTGTCTTGGCACTTCATTGATCAATTTAAATGATTGATTGTACAAAATACACTTGGTTAATTTGAAGATTAGAGGCTAAATGAGCAATGTGGTGCATTCAAGATAGCAACACTTTGCTGTTTAACAGGTTCAGTTGCACATTGTGCAGACACCAATTTAACACTCTCATCATGGAATCACACCACACCAATGATCTGAGTCTTTAATGTTTCAGAGGCACACATAAGGCTTGTTTGAGTGGTAAGGCTAAAGCAACTGACTGTAGACCAAAGTCGAGTAGTAAAGTCAGGAGAGGTGCATCTGCGATAGCCGAAACTCAGAAACTAATGTCATTTTCCAACAGCAAGTCTCACATCACCATGGCAGTGTTGCCATTGTTTATAAAATATTTTCTTCATAATGTTAAAAAAAGTATCCAAAACCCACTCATGTGTGTACATTATACAATCAATTATTGAGAGAGAGACTCAATCACATACATATATTCACTGTAGGCTACACATGAATTGCAGCAAATTCCTGTTTCAGTCACGTCTTTGGTCATGTTCGCGTTGGTAAAACAAAAACACAGAAACTTGCAGTTTACTACCTTTGATCACATGTTTTTGTAAAGTTCATGCAGTCGACATATAGGCTCAAGTTGGACACATTTGATCCCCAGAATGCAACACACTTTGAACGGCGGTGACCAACGATTGTCAACGACTTAACAATAGTGATCCTCTCGAAGGTGCCCACTGTCTCCATAAAAGGTCTCCTTCATGTGGATGAAATAAAACACAAGACAACAACCCATCTCATCATCCTCTGACCATCTACCCTCTTTTGTGGACGCATTTCTTCCAATATTGTCTCAACTTTGATTGCAGTACTCAACCACAAGCACATACATTTGCATGCAACTGTTTAGATAGCTATTCATATATCCCGGCCCCCTTAATCTCAACATCTGCCAAGTAGTGTTTTCCCTATTCCGGCTGATGTTTCCACTTGGCACTCCAAACCTGCTAATTATCCTTGATTCCAAGTCTGGGCTTTGAAATTCCATTTTCCCTTTTTCTGAATTTTTAGGGATCAACCGTTCAACTTTTCTCTCTCTTTGGTGTGTGTCGTTTTCTTGTCCTGTTTCTTTCAGCACAGCAGGCAGACAATCTGTTCTTTTTTCTGGTCTTTTATATTCACCCCAAGTGCTCCAATCCTTCTTTACTTTATTGTATGGCCCTTAATGTCTAGAAATCTGCACTCATTCCCCTCTTCCACTGCTGTACACAGTCCTAATGTGACTGGATCTTTCATGTATGTCACTTAATCAGACCTGGGTTCAAATACTATTTAAAATATTTAAATTCATTTCACATACATTTGTAAGTATTCAGATATCTTATATTTGAAAAGACAAGTAATTGAATATTTTAATGTATTTGGAAATACACTGACTCAAATACACTCCCATGCATTTTACCCTGGTATTTGAATATTTGAAATACGTTTCTGAACATACCGTTAAATACAATTTGGCAGACTATTTGGTTTTTACAAATAACCATTAAAATACTCAAATAAAAGTACTTGTTTTGGGCTGTGCATTTGAAAATACTCAAATACACAGAAAAAGTATTTTAAATACCAGGGACTCAAATACACATGTATTTCAACACAGGTCTGCACTTAATGTAGCATTTGCATGAAAATACACACAAATTAATTTTATTGTAATATATTGCATCATTCTATTCTATTGTATTTGTTGTTTCTTTGTGATTGCATTTGGAATCTTCTAATGTTATTTTTTCCTAGGACAGATTCCAATTCTTCTTTCTCTGTTAGACCCTCTAGGCCCTGTCAGTCTTCAGAGGTCAGCCAGTTGTGATTGTAACCATCAGATCAGTGCCAACCCTAACAAACTCGGCCAAAATCTCAGTGGTGAGGAGCCACTGACCTGTGGTCAACTCGCAGACGGCGGACTTGACGTCACATAAAGACACACTCATGCCCGCCAGAGCACACACATAGCCTACATAAGATTCAGGCAGAAAACAATACTCACTCGCGCTTATTATTTACATTCATTTATTTGTTTGTTTTACAACTCAGTTTTAGGATCAGGTACTACTGCCTGCTTCACCTCCTAGAAATAAGAAAAAAGTATTTGAGAAGCAATATAGATACATTATACTGTTATTTTAACTGAATTAATTTGTGTAGAACAAACACCTTTAGGTGTAGGATAACAGGTTATCCCTCCAATGAATAGATCAATTTAAGATCCAAATTCTCATAATATACAGTTAGTGAATGATTTCATCAACAATACTTTACAAAAATGTACATGTTCAAAAAATCCATTCTTTAGGAGCCTGTGGTAACTAAGATAAACAATGGACTAACAGGATGAATGAGCTATAGGTTAAATAATGAGTAAAGATTATCTCAACACCATATACAATGCATGCTGTAGTATCTTAGGATGTTCTTAGAGCGAGGACTCCAGACACATAAGTACGTTTTAGTATTTAATTGTAACTCAGAATAACATTACAGGAATGCGCCTGGAGTATCCTCACATGGCCTCTCCTATCATTGCTACGCTGACGACACACAACTAATCTTCTCCTTTCCCCCTTCTGATAACCAGGTGGCGAATCGCATCTCTGCATGTCTGGCAGACATATCAGTATGGATGACGGATCACCACCTCAAACTGAACCTTGGCAAGACGGAGCTGCTCTTCCTCCCGGGGAAGGACTGCATGTTCCATGATCTCGCCATCACGGTTGACAACTCCGTTGTGTCCTCCTCCCAGAGTGCGAAGAGCCTTGGCGTGACCCTGGACAACACCCTGTCGTTCTCCGCTAACATCAAGGCGGTGACCCGATCCTGTAGGTTCATGCTCTACAACATTCGGAGAGTATGACCCTGCCTTACACAGGAAGCGGCACAGGTCCTAATCCAGGCACTTGTCATCTCCCGTCTGGATTACTTCAACTCACTGTTGGCTGGGCTCCCTGCCTGTGCCATTAAACCCCTACAACTCATCCAGAATGCCGCAGCCCGTCTGGTGTTCAACCTTCCCAAGTTCTCTCACGTCACCCCGCTCCTCCGCACACTCCACTGGCTTCCAGTCGAAGCTCGCATCTGCTACAAGACCATGGTGCTTGCCTATGGAGCTGTGAGGGGAACGGCACCTCCGGACCTTCAGGCTCTGATCAGTCCCTACACCCAAACGACGGCACTGCGTTCATCCACCTCTGGCCTGCTGGCTCCCCTACCTCTGCGGAAGCATAGTTCCCACTCAGCCCAGTCAAAATTGTTCGCTGCTCTGGCACCCCAATGGTGGAACAAGCTCCCTCACGACGCCAGGACAGCGGAGTCACTCACCACCTTCCGGAGACATTTGAAACCCCACCTCTTTAAGGAATACCTGGGATAGGATAAAGTAATCCTTCATTGTTCAGACTATAAGTTAAACATATTTTTCAGTAGACTATAATTTAAACTATACGTTAAACATATTAAATCTATTCAGACTATAAAGTTAAACATAGTTCATCACAATGACAAGCAGTAAGACTAAGTGGTACAGAGTGGTACAGAAGTAAGAGGCCTGAACAGAGCCAGGAGATGGACCTGGGAAGGGGCCTGGAAATGGGCCTGCTATGTGTGGGAAATATACACTATGCATGAGAACTGTATATGGTTGAGAATTGATTATGGCTCAGAAAATGGACCTGCCATGTTTAAACCATGTTTAAGTATCGATTGATATGTTTAAGAATAAACAGAGCAGAGCCAGGGAATGGCTCTGTTATTTTTTACATGACAGGGCTTGGTCCTGTCACTATTGTTTCCAGAAACTGAATATAGAAAGAGGAGAATTCAGATTTCACCGCTATTATAAAATAAGGAAGTGAGCGGAGCGGTCAAAAGGTGAAAACTGGAAGCAATGGTGGAGGAACCAAAGAGGGAG